AGACATTATATTCAGAAAACGAGTACCTTTTTAACCGTAAGAATACATATATGATGCTTTTATCATGAGAGACATGCTACCTGATGTCCATTATGCAGTTTTATCTTAAATAAATACTAATAAATTACACAGATTATCCCATTAAGAAAAAGGGACAAAGTTTTCTCCCTTGTAGGGATAGTTCCATTTTGGAGACTGATGAGAGGAATCATACAGTAATACCTTTGTTTTGAGCTTCTGATCTGATATTTAAAAAGCACCAAGCATACAAATAAATTTCATCCTGGAAAGTGATGTTGCTTCTCTGTAGCTGCCTTCTATCACCTGTTCAAGAGTTCATCTGTTTCTGTGGGAAGGGAAGGCAAGAACTAGGAAATAATAAACTCAGGGGACTTCTAGCATAGCCAGAGAATGTCCTTTAGGCTGATAATTTTAGGGTGCCAGGGTATTTTTGTATTACTGGAGAGGGAAGAAAATACCATGAATGGTTATCTGTGGGTATAGGTTATATAAATGTAAGGACAAAACCTAGAAACAGGATAGGTTCTAGAACTTGGCTTAATTGTATACCAACAAAGATGACCATGTCATATTTGGTAATGAAACATTAATATGTTTTTCTGAGCCTCTGATTCATGGTGGCTTAAGGAAAAACATCTGTGAAAAACATTTTTTGAAAAGGATCACTGACATTTTTCCTTTCTATTCCTTTTCCCAGTGAATTTTAAAAGTAGATGTTCTGATGAGACCAATGGTAAAACATACAGGAAATCTTTTTCATATGATGGTCAAAGCTAAATGGAATACAGAAGTTCAATTCTTTGGATGTATCTTCCTGTGCTCTGTAATTCACATAGCAACCAAAAGGATTAATTAATGCAGGCAGCAAACATTAGAAAAAGCACAGCCAGTCTGCTGTATCCCTATACACAGACATCCTGAGAACTCAATCAATTTGTATTTTATTTTGTTAGAAAAGAAATTAAAATTCATATATAGTATTTCTGGAAATCATCATTTCATGTACAAGTAAGCTAGGTCAAAAAATGAATTTCTCAAAGGCAACACTCAATCTACTTTGTGGACTATTACGCTTATGTGTAAAACTCAGATTTTTTAATATTATAGATGGTAAAGTTCTCATGGAGATTCACTGCAGGAACAAAAAAAGCAATAAAAACATTATTGCTAATTGCTAGGAATCTCTCTGTATAGCTCTCCTTTTCTCAACTAGCAAAATCGCTTGTCTTTCTTAAAAAAAAAAAAGTATTGCTGGGCTTTCTGTTGTTTTTTGGTGGGACTAGGGTTCAAACTCAGGGCTTCATGCTTGTAAAGCAGGCACTCTACACTTGAGCCACACTCTAGTCCATTTTGCTCTGGTTATTTTGGAGATGGGGGTCTTGAGAACTATTTGCTCTGGCTGTCTTGAATGTCAATCCTCCAATCTCAGTCTCTCAAGTAGCTAGGATTATAGGCATTAGCTACATGCTCCAGCAGGACTGCTGTTTTTTAGAAATAAAAGTAAGCTGTTGCAAATGTTCTACTAAATTTGTGAAATGTGAAAAGTACTTCCTTTTTTAATTACTTGATTCTGAAATGTATGATCATTTAGTTCCATTTTTCACAAAGTGGAAACTTGCTTGTTTTTTTTTTTTAAATCAAGGATAAGAAGCATCTATGGAGAAAAAAAGTAGCTTAAGAATAGGATACATTGGAATCCCATCTGTAGGATGACAATCAAATCCAATTTATGAATATGTTCATACTGGCAAACAAGTTAACCACTAATTCAATAGCTAAGTGCTAAATAATTTCCACAAGTATTTGGATTTTGCAAAGTTGTGTTCTTGCCATATCTCCTTTGATACTTTCTAGTATATAATAAACAAAATTTCAGCCTGGAGACTTAAATCATTTAAAGATGACTGAATCAATGACTTTTCTCAATATAATGAACCGGGGCCAATAAAGTGGCTAGATAGTGCAGTCATGCAGAGGCAGAGCCAAAATAACATATAGGGTTACTAGTAACCCACAAAAACCTAATTTTCTGTATCATCACTAAATTTATTTGGTTTAAATTTCTAATTATAAACCTCGACATATCAACTGCTATACGTTCCTGCGTAAACAGCTATTGAACACCTTTTATTTGCAAAGCTCTGTGTTAAATATTGTGAAAACTATAGACTGAAAAAATATAATTCTTTTCAACATTTTAATACCTATACAATAGCTAATGAGAATCGATATGTATATAATTAACTACTGTCTCAATATCCACAGGTAACACTATTTATTTATTCTTTCAGAAATAGTTACTGTATACATACGTACATACATATACATATAGAGAGAAAGAGTTATATACTAGTATATGTATTATGCATTGTATGGTCAAGCACATTCTTATTAAATACACATGTATAGTCACATAAATCTGACTTCTTTCTCAGCCTCCTGTCCAAACCATTTTCATTTTTTCACCTGTACTATTATAGCACTCTTCTTCAGTAGTTTCCCTGATTCTATTTTTTGTCTTCCCAATCTAGTCTCAACACAAAGTGACCATTAAACATAATTCAGTTCATGTTTAAAATTCATCAGTGGCATCCTATGATATTTAAAAATAAAATGAAATAAAAAAAATCCTTTTACCCAGGTCTATAGGGCCGATGTGCTAGCCCTGCTTCTCTGTTCAACCTCTTATTTCATCCTTCCCACTATACTCTGTCACACAGGACTTCTGGTGTCTATTTTACTTTTTCTTTTGGGCAGTATTGGAGTTTTGAACTGAGGATTCACACTTGCTAGACAAGCATTCTATCACTTGAGACACTTGGCCAGCCCCAAACTCATTTTAACTATCACCTCTTTAGGGAGGTTCTCTCTATCTAAAGGAATCTTTCCCATGCCCAGTTACTTTGCAGATTACCCCATTTATTTCCTTGGTAGCAACTGTATTTGTTTGTCTATTCTCTGTTTCTTCAGAGAATAGACACTTTTTTCCTGCCACTTCTATACCAGCATCTATAACTGTTCTTGACATATTGAAGGCATTCAATAAACATCTATTGTATAAAAGAATGGAGCAATTGAATTATTAACTACATACATATTTAGGTTTAGTGATAATTGCTAACAGATGCCAAAACTAATAAGTGTGCATTTGGGGGCAGAGTATCACTTTTAGCTTTGTTTGGGAATGAATCATGCAACTTAGAAAGTTTTTGCAGTGGTACACTAATCATATACAATGTATTCTTCTGGTCTATGATTTCCCTTTCACTAATTTCTTGTTAGTAATTCTTACATGAAATTCATAAGTAAATTAATGTTTTTAATTTTTTTTCAAATTAATTGAAGGCATCAAGACAGAGTTATGCTTTTCAAAAAAGCCTCTCAGACAGGTGAATCACTCAGGCTGGTTTTTATTTTTCCCATTTAGCTGACATTTCTAAATCTTGATGCAAGGTCCTTAAACATTTTATCTGAAGTAATGTACTCTGAATTTAACACCAGATGTTCAGCCTTTCAACCTTGGATTTTTAATAGATGATTTTTTTTTTACAGTTTGCTTTGCTTTGTAGGATTTTGCCTCTCCAGAGAAATTACTGATAAAAATGACCTTGCTTTATAGATTATATATCATGAAATCTTTACCTTTTTTTGTTGTGGAACTAGAAATAAAATTAACAAATAAAGGGAGATTGAAAACTTCCATTACTAAGGTACTTTGTCTCTAAACTACTTATGTAAAAGTCCGAATATATTAATCCTAGATCTGTATATAATTAAAGAGGTTTTTTTTATCCTAGTTTTGAAAGTATTTTTCCATGTAACTAATCATTCTATTTTACATTTTGAAAAATTGCATAATTTTTGAAACAAGAGGAGTCACATTTATTTTGAAGTTATAATTTCTTTTAAAATGTTATGTTTTGTTTTTGTTTTCTCATTTGATGATGCTAAGTTGGTGGGTTAACCAGTCCAGATTCACTGATCTTTGAAAAGAGGACTTAATTTCAAATCTGTATTAACCATAAATGTTTATAAACTGTTCTAAAAAAAAAAAGATGATTTTTTTTCCTGTTCTGTACCAAATTAGAGATTTTTTTTTAAAGGAACTAAAGTAAAAAAAATATACTTCACCATATAAAAGTCACTTATGAACCTCAAAACATTTTCCCCTTTCAGAAATTCATTGTATTTATAAAATGATACTTCCAAGGCTCTTAGATTATTGTTAGCTGAAATACTATAAGAATTACACCAATAGTAAAGTTTTTATGTGTTCAACTATATATGTTAGTCCCTTTACAACATGAAGTCTAAATATAAACTATAGGAATATAACTTTTTAACTAAGAAGAATTTGTGTATATTTAAAATTTCAAGTTGGCCTAAGAAGGTTGTTCTGGACAAGTTTTGTTTTTATTAAAATCAAGTAAACCACTACATTTAAATTGTAATTAAAAGAAAACCATCCTTTTCTTTGTGTAACAAATGGCCTTTGTTAATTGGGTCTTCAGTTTGTGTGTTGGCCACATTTGGCAAAGTCCAGTCCTCACCAAAAATAGTAACAACCTGCTCTCCATGGCAAATCTATTTTTGGCTTTAATGTTTGAAAGGCTAAATGCTAGATGCCATAGAATTGAACCTTAAATGGCCATAAGTTCTGATGTATTACTAAAACACAGAATACAGGGATTTGGGTCTTTCGAGATACTGGTTTTTTTATTCCAAAACAAATAAGTGATTCAGGATTAGCAGAGGGACTCATATCTATTTGACATATGTTAAACCAAAAAAATATTAGAATTGAAACAATAGAGGAAGGTGGAATTGGGTGATAAAACAGTATTCACCCAACACTACTCTAAGTTTCCTATTTCTTAGTGTTTCTAGTTTTTATTTTTTTCTCTTACCTGTCTCTGAGTGTGCTGGGACCTAGATAAGGATACAGGTTTCCTTAAGCTTTCCTTTGATTAGATGGTCCAGGTCTCATGTAGGAAAGGCTGATGCTGTGTATACACATTTTCTACTCCCTGAAATGGGGAAATGGTTCTTATGTTATTTTTGGAAACTAACAACATAAACAGTAATACTCATATTTAGAAAAGGGGATAGATTCAAATAGGAATTTTAGGATGCTTAAAAATTATTTTAATTAACTAGAAAATACTCAAAATACTAAATTTAAAGCTAATTATTGAAAAGGAACTTTAAAACTGAAATTGCTTAAATTTTTTTCTCATGTCTTCATCAAATTCATTCTTTTGTGAAAATGTGAAATGACAGGTGAAGCAAACAAAAGGAAGGGACTGTATAAAAAGAGATTGTAAACAAAAGAAAAATGGAAAAATGTCAGGAAACATAAGAAAGGCGAACAGATTAAAACTGAGTTTTGCCGTTAAAAAAAAGTAGGTTCATACTTTTAAAAAATCAACAAATGTTTCTTTCTCTTTAAATTTCCTTCAAAAGAAACTACCTAAGAAATCTTAACTTATAAACAAATAGAAAAAAATATCTGTGACTAACAGAACTGTTTGTCTTTACTTCTTTACTTTGAATACTTCCTGAAAATATGTCCAGTTTTTCCTGCTCAACTATTTAGCCCAATGCTGATACTGTTCCAATACAGAAAAGCACTAAAAAAAACAAAAAACAGAAACAAAAAACCAAAAAACTTTCCAAGAGGATGACTGCTTTAATTTCACTTAATTGACATGGTACTAAGCCAACAGCAATCCATCCTGATGATACTTTAAAGTATCTTCCTTCCACTCACAGCTTCAGGGTTTTGACTAGTTCTTATTTAGGAAAGCAGAGAAGATATATCTACCTTTAATCCTTTGAGAAACTGTTTGGTAATAGCCACAGCATCTTTGGGACTAAAGAGGTCACTTCCTCTAACTCGTTTACCACCATATTCAACAACTGCAGACACAAGCTATGAAAAGAAAAAAAATAAAAGAATCTTTTTATTGCTTAGGGAACAGGAAGCTCATTTTATAAAGAAATAACCTTATTAAGGAAATGAAGATAGGAGAGGAACAGAATTATACATTTCTGTGAATAAAAATAGAATGATTTATCATTTGTTGGAGCTAAGAATAACACAATTGATTCCTGTTTGCTGGGCTTAATAAATAGATTTTGGAGCACATGGTGGCATATGCCTGTAATCCCAGTATCAGGAGGAGGGCAAGAAGACTGACATAGAAAGACCCTGTCTCCAAAAAAACAAATCCCCCCCACCGTGACACACATACAAACTTGCTTACCTTTCGATACTTCTCAGAAACACCTCTATTCTAAGGTCCACTATTAGTCTGGCAGGCTGTTGCTGCTGTGTCGCTCATAATGTAGAGCATAAGCATCACCAGGCGAGCAGCATCAAACTCTGTCACTTTGGGTTCTGCAGGAGTCTCTTTACTTCTGAAGAAACACAGAACTGATATTTATCCCTTTTCCACCTTTCTACTGTGTATCCCTTAGATCTAGTGCAGACTGAGTGGTAGTGATACATCTGAGTTTATGACTGAGATTACTATGACAATTGTACAGATCATACTGTCTCAACTATGGCAAACTATCTTTTTGCCACAATAAGAGTTAAATAGAAAATATTTACTATTGTAACTGTTCTAGGAAAACATGAAATTTAATAATGGATAAACTCCTCTTTTTTTTTTTTTTGCACTACTGGGGTTTGAAAAACTCAAGGCCTACACCTTGAGGATCCCCAGCCCCTTTTTGGTGATGGTATTTTTGTGATAGGGTCTCATGAACTATTTCACCGGGCTGGCTACTCTGCCTCCTGAGTAGCTAGGATTATAGGAATGAGCCACTTGGCACCTAGCTGCTCCTCTTTTCTGATAGCCTAAGTTGTCATTTCCTTGCTGAAATAAGGAACATATATTATTTTACCACTTCAATCAATAACAGCAGAAGAGATTTACAACTGACCAGCTAACTCCCAAAACTCTGCTTTCTCTTAGTACTAGTGGTTGACCACCTGGAATGGAGATAAGGTGGTACAATTTTACATGGGACTGGGCTTAATTTCCAAGAAACATCAGATATAACATGTCTTAATGTGGCTGGTAGACGTGAGTATGTATATAAGCATGTAATCTCTAAAATAGAGGTACTTATCTTAAAGTAATAGGTACTGACAGCAAAGGGAGTCAGAAGAAATCATGTTTAGATTTTGTCATTCTCTCATTAGGCATTTCCATATTATATAGATTGTATTTATTGCAAGCAGATAAATAATTTAATTCAAACCAACAAATCTTTTGAGTCCCCATAAGGCACTATACCCAGCATTGTTGGGGAAACACGATGAATTAGAACCAGTTTCTATCCTCAGTGAATTCGGACAATGGATAAAGAGGATGAACTAATATAAATCCATTCTGCTTCAAAGTATGTTTCTTCAGTGCACTTTAGTCTATGAGATTGGGCAAGTTGGATTGGTATTTTAGCTTTCTCATGATTAAAAAGGAAGCATTACCAATATGTTAAGAAAAAATAAGATGAAAATCCTCCAGCATTGTTTTCTGCAAGAAGTATCTGATTTGTACCTTTAAGAAGCTTATTGTGTTAAGCTACCTGGGGAAGGGGAAGTGCAAGTGAAAAGGCACAAAAGATATTTCATTGTAATGAAAATAAAACAAACCAAAAAAACTCAAAAAACTGATTGATAAGGAAGATTACTTCCTATGATACTTTTTAATTTTTGATGGAACTACTCTCCAAGAAACAAATGTTTTTAAGACCTTATATCTTTGAATAAAACATGACCCCCAAGAATAAAGTGCAGAAGAAACTTTTTTTTTTTTGAATAGGACTAGGGTTTCTGGTTTTAACTTAGGGCTTCGCACTTGAAAGCACATGTTCTATAGCCTGGGATGCTCCTCGCCTATTTTGGCTTCTGGTTATTTTGGAGTATGGGGGTCTCATGAACTATTTGCCAGACTAGCTTCAACCTGTGTTCCTCCTGATCTCAGCCTCCAACTAGCTAAGATTACAGATGTGAGCACTGGCGCTGGCTTTGACTTTGGTTTTTTGAATTTCAAACGTCATTGGAAGATTTAATGTTGTGTAGTTTTTTTTATTAGGTTGTCATTACTTTTATTAGTACTCTTGATTACAAGGTTATATAGATTTTTTTTAGTTAATATAGATATTCCCTATTTTTTAAAAGATCCATTTTCTAGCTCACTTATCTTTTTTTTCAGTTATATAGATTTTAAGTGTTCCTGCTTTATAACCCTGTTTTCCTTTAGCCCTTATTTATTTTTGGTTCATGATTTTGTAGAACATGGTGTTATAACAAAAGCATTTATTTGTTAAAAAAAAAAAAACCAAACCCAAATAGAAAAGTGAAGAATCCTGAGTCCTTCCCGCAAAATCAGTAAAGGCTGAATTAGTATGAGCTGAACACGATGCCACTATTAATAGAAATATGAAACCAGAGAGAAAATGTGAGACGGCCAGAGCCTTAGAGGACACTGGATTCTGAGGACCTAACAACTGCCATCTTCTGGCACTTTACAACTTATCGAGATGCTGTCATATACATTATGTCTTCAGTACCTCACAGCAACCATGTCAAGATCTGAGAATTCTTCTATAAATAAGGAATTAGGACTAGGAGGAAGACCTCCCAAGTAGCTCTCAACTAGAAAGCTTCTGAGAGGGTTCTTTTTGTTGCTTTTTCTGGTTAATATTTCACTATCATTCTCAAGGGATTAAAAAGGAAGAAATTTCTCATTTTGACTCCTCATTCATAAGAATTTCCTTATTTTTTTTTCCTTAGAGAACCATGGAATCAACTATTTAGGGATATCAGTTCAATGTTCCACTATTTTTCTTTTTTCCATATACATTTATATATTATTCACAGGCAACTTGGCATATAATTTAAAACATTATGAAGTCCTTCTGGAAGCTTATTGTAACTTTTCTTGTGCAAATGTACATTTTTCTTAGGCCAATTTATTTCCTGCCTTGCAGTCATTCCTCTTTCCCTTTAATCTACCAATCTTCTGGCCTGACCTGTTTGTACTTTTTAAGCAAATTAAAAACGTCAAGTACTATAAGCCCACATAGGAGTATGGAAACAGTAAAAGACTAATTTTTGTAGTAATCATTTTGTGCCCCTTCTCTGCTTACTTCCTTTTAATTATCGTCACTTGGATCTTGACTCCTGGTTCTTGTTTCCCTTTAAAGGAATTATCTGAAGCAATGATCCTGATGAATGGTGAACACCTGAATGAACATTATCAGATAAAGAAAGGACATGAAAGATTGATGTTATACCAAATGTGGGTGTTTTTGAACATGCAGAAAATGTTTCTTTCACCTTACAGCCAATAAATGCAATACTGTACTAGCATTATTGCTTTGTGATTTACCATCTTTGATCTTCTAATTAATACTAGGATCTGTAGCAAAACAACTGCCTTCAATATAGACTTTGATTAAAAAAAAAAAAAAAAAGAATTCACATCCTGATGGGTGCAGTGGCTCATGCTGCAATCCTAGTTATTGGGAAGAGTAAGAGATTGCAGTCCAAAGCAGCCAAGGCAATAGTTTTGTGAGGTGAGAATATCTGAAAAACCCCAAACAAAAACAGGGCTGGAAAGTGGTCAAGTGGTAGGTCACCTGCTATACTTCAATGCTACGGCACAGTGCTCCCACCTCTAATCTTAGCCACTTGGGAGGCTGAGTTGGAGGATCATGGTTCAAGGCAAATAGTTTTTTTTGAGGCCCAATAACACAGCAAATGGATTGGAGATGAGGCTCAAGAGGTAGAGCACTGCTATGCAAGTGAAAAGCTCTTGAGCTCAAACCGCAGTTCTACCAAGAAAAAAAAAAGATGAAAAAACTATTGTCTACTTAAGAATTGGGATTCAAAAACTTGGCACAAATCTTTTGACATTATGAGCCTAATCAAGAACAGAAAATGAAAAACGGTGGGGCATGCTTAATAGGTAATAGTGCTTGCAAGGTTTTTGAAATGCAAATTCCAGTAATCCAACAACAACAACAAAAAGAAAAAGAAAAACAAAATTCTCATATCAAACTATGATGAAGCAGCATAGCAAAACATTTTTGATGAAATATACACAATCTTAAACTATTATACAAAATTAATGGATGAACTCAGTAATTAAAGATAAGTTTTCCATTTTTTTTTGCTTTAGTTCAACCTAAAGAATTAGAATCCTTCTCTTGCATCTAATATCATGACACAAATGAACAGATTATGATAGTAAGATGGAACTGAGCAGGTACAATATGCTGATATGATAAAAAATAAGTCTGATCTAACAGTCTGAGTAAACAGTGTTTGGACTAGAAAGAGATTTTATCTGAAATAATAAAAAAGTAAGGAAGGACCCCCAATTCTTGATTGGTAATATATTGAAGTCAATAGTCTTTTAATGATAGTCAAACATAAAAATTAACCTTTGTAGGTCTTGCTTGGTCAACACTTTTTTAAAAACATTGTAGTCTTAGCCAAGGCAATAACTCAGTCAAAAGAAACAATGCTAAGAGTATCACAAATACTGACTTCCAAACTATAATTGACAGAGCAATAACAAATAAAAACACGCCAATGGTATGGCCAAAAACAGAATGGACGAACCAGTGGAACAGAATAGAGGATCCAGATATGAAGCCACAACTATAGCAACTTATCTTTGACAAAGGAGCTAAAAATATACGTGGAGAAATAGCAGCCTCTTCAACAAAAACTGCTGGGAAACTGGTTAGCAGTCTGCAAAAAACTGAAACTAGATCCATGTATATCACCTATACCAAGATAACTCAAAATGGATCAAGGATCTTTAATATCAGACCCCAAACTCTTAAGTTGATAAAGAAAGAGTAGGAAATACTCTGGAGTTAGTAGGTATAGGTAAGAACTTTCTCAATGAAACCCCAGCAGCACAGCAACTAAGAGATAGCATAGATAAATGGGACCTCATAAAACTAAAAAGCTTCTGTTCATCAAAGAAATGGTCTCTAAACTGAAGAGAACACCCCACAGAGTGGAAAATATTTGCCAATATACATCAGACAAAGGACTGATAACCAGAATATACAGGGAACTTAAAAAACTAAATTCTCCCAAAACTAATGAACCAATAAAGAAATGGGCAGTGAACTAAACAGAACTTTCTCAAAAAGAAGAATTCAAATGGCCAGAAAACACATGAAAAAATGCTCACCATCTCTAGCAATAAAGGAAATGCAAATTAAAACCACCTAAGATTCCACCTCACCCCTGTTAGAA